ATTTTCTTTATAGTACCAGGTTTTGCCCCACCATATCGGGGTAAAACCGGGTACTTTGCATTTTTTTTTTTTGAAAAACCTGGTTTAAATTAATCAAAAAAAATTTTTTCATACAATCGACCTTATTTTTCTCATTCTCTAATGTTCAAGGAAGAATTTTCAACGAGATTCGAACTAATTTATTTGATAGATTCTTTTTAAGCCGAAAATTCTAAAAAGGTACCCGGTTTTGACCCACTCTCCCCTATATATATTTTTTATGACGCTGAAGTTACCAACGTTGATTCGACGAATCAACGAACGAATTTTTCGTTTTCAGTTTAGTTTTAAGGCCAAGAACCAATTTTTTTAAATTTAAACTTCTTTATTTTGGTCCCAAATACATCCTTAAACACTAAAAATCCTTAACCAAGGCGGGGAAATATTCAATCTGAGGAAAAAAAAAATTCTTTTCATCGATTCAACGTTGGTAACTTCAGTGTCATTATTTTTTCCCTGATTTTTCCATAACAAATAAAATTCCCTAAATTTTCCAAGTTTCCAGAAAGCATAGCAACCCTGATAATACTTTTTTTTTAAGTGTGTGATTGTTCATGGATAAGTAATTTATTCGAAATGGAGTATATATGTATATATATATATATATATTCTCCAAGTCAACTGAACTTACGCACGGACGATCATAACTCGACTTACACTACTGCGGCTAGCAAAGTTCACGTTCGCGATCTGGCGCGTTAAGCCGCGATCGACAGTATGAAATATAAATTTCCAGGGACGGAAGATAAATCTATGGAGCTGTACGTGACGCCACGAAGCACAAGATATTTCCTCCTTCTCGGATAGAAGCGGGGTTTGTTAAAAGCTTCGTGTATGGGAAAAGGTGTAGAGGGTGCAAGGGTAAAATAAATCCGCGCTAGTCTGGATATGTTCGTGAAGTGTGCTCAGTACCTTATATATATATATATACACGTTCATGGGTTCATATATATATATGTGTTCAGGTGTGTGCGATAAAATCGATGGAGAGGTTGGTTGGCGGAAGTTCCTTGTTTTTTGTAGCTAGACCCATTTGACTTCATTCGCCGTCATCCTCCCATTTTCTAAACTAGAAATATCGCACTCCCTTTTCTCAATGGAGAGTTGTGCAAACGGATACTTCAATCTCTCTCTCTCTCTCTCTCTCTCTCTTTCGACTATAAATAATCAAAAGAGAGAGCTAAATTTATCAATTTAGTATATTATTAAAAACCATTTTGTATTCTTTATTATCATCCGCAAAAGTTCTTCTTTTTTTATACATTATCTTAAAATAGAGAAATTTTTCATTTTCCTCATCTTTCGTTTTATATTTTTAAACATTCAATTTAAATTTTCATATACTTTAATTAATATTACAAAAATAGAAAATAAAAATTTTAAATTGGATACAAAATGAACTTTATATGAACGAGCAAAATAGAAAATAAGCACGCAATCCTGTATATATATATATATATATATATAGCTTTTGTTATTATTTATTGTGAGAGAATGTGTGATAAAGATAAATCGAGAGCTGCTTGAACACGTTTTCAATATAAATGTTTAAATAACGAAATTATTGTATGCATATTGAAGGTAAACAAAAGTAATATTTTCTTTTGATAACGGATATCGTTTGTTTATATCAGTAGATTATTATTTCCCTTCTGTTTAATATATCAGCGAAATATATTTCAATTTTAGTTTTGCGTTAAAATAATAATAATTAAAAAAAAAAAAATAATTAATTTTTTTCCACTTAATTTTAGGATATTAAACATATTTATAAAAATTTATGTAAGTTTTATTTTATAAGGTGCAATAATTTGACGTTACCTAACATACCACACAAAGTTAGGAATTTCATGTGTCACGTAGAGGATCAGGTAATGTGCATAATTCACGCTCTATCGCAAGATCTCCACTATGAAACTAGGAGACATAAATTAATCTCAATTTTCACGAGGGGTCACACGATAGCGCACGCATCGCATCAAAGTGACAAATTTTCTTTTACTATTTATTGATATTTATTTATAAACGATATTTTATCATTTTCAAACAACAAAATTTTATTTTAACTGATAAGAAATTAATTTTTTTATTTTATTTTATTTAAATAAAAAATTTATTTGAGACAAAAAAAAATTTTTTGTTAACAAATAAAATTTTTATTTATAATAAGTAGGCTATATGAGACAAATATACGTTTATTTATATTTTATTTGGTTCAAATAAATCATATTGTATATTTCTCTGGGTGTACTAATTTAATTTCCCAATTCGACAGTGATATATTTTATAATAAAAAAAGATTACTCTAATTTAAACATCACTAGCAATATCATTAAACTTAAACAAAGTTGATACCGATTAATTTGGAAAACGTAACCGCAGGGTAATTGCAAACACACAAGAAACACATAACGCATATTAAACATTTCTCCGAACAAAGAGAAATTTAGAAATTAATTATTATTAAATGTCCGCGCGTTCATATGAAATTAGATTAAATTTTTTTTAAAAAAAAAACCCTAACGAAAAAGTAAAAAAAAAAATAAAATTGAAAATTTAGATTAAAAAAAATTATTTTACAAAAAGCAAAAAAAAATATTTTCACAAATAGAAAAAAAAGAAAACTATATTTATATACATAAAAAAAAAGGAAGTTTCGCACGAATTAATTGCCTAACACAATTTCAGCTTCAACGTGTGTATTAGAGTGCGCCGATCGGGCAGGTGAACGCCGATAACCTATCGTTAATAACATTATTGCCACGAAACAAAATCACGCTCGTTTTCACAATGAAACGTGAGTCACCAATGTAATTATTGCTCCTACGTACACACATTTAAAGCCATCTCTCTCTCTCTATATATATATATATATATATATATATATATATCTATACCTGTAAATTCATATATTCCCAGTATCCTCTATCACATAATGTGGTTAGCTGTTTTCGAACGAAAATCAGTTTTATTACTATTCAAAAACCTATTAATGACCTCAAATTATTCCTGACACTAAAATCCTTTTAAACTAACTATTAAATATATAATTAGTTATGTAGAAAATATATATCACAATTAATTATAATCAAAATATTCTCTAAATTTAAAATTTTAACTTGAATTAGTGATTCAATTTTTGCTTTTGAATTAAATTTAACTACAAAAAAGTGATTCATTACTCTCTAAATCTGAATTAGTAAAAAAATTTTTACTAATTTAAATTAGTGACTCACTTTTTGCTTCTGTATTAGTAAAATTTTACTAATTATTAGTAACTTTTACTAAAAATTAGTAAAATTTTACTAATTCTAAAGCTAAAAGTGACTCACTAATTTACATTAGTAAACATTTTTACTAATTCAGATTTAGAGAGTAATTCAAGTTAAAATTTTTATTCAAACGGAGTAAATATCTCATATTTTTTTCCAAATATAAAAAAAATTATGTCATGAATAAAAAAAAAACGTATTTTATTAAATTCTACATAATAAAATTATATTCATTTCAAATTGATAATCCAATAATTAAATTATTGGATTTTAATTTCTGAATGATACATTTCTGAATTATGTCACATTTTTTTGTTTTTAAACTCATGTGAGAATATTTTAATAATTCGAGAAAAAAATATTATTTCGTAGAAAAAGTAATTAATAAGACATTAAAAAAAAAAAGGTTTTATAACAAGCAATTTGGGAGTAAATAAATTAAGTAGAATTAAAAAAGGGAAAACTGACAGTCATGAACCAAACGTCTAAAAGATGGGTAAATTTAAGTCAATATTTTTTGTGTACATATAGTTTTCTATGGGATACCCTTTAATTAATTAGTGGCTGTAGAAGAGCACAAACATCGGAAACTAAATACTAAGAGAACTCCAGCTTGTATAGGAGAAGAAGGAGTATGGATTTAGAAGCCCTATATACAATATCTAAAGTGGTTAAATTAGTTTTTTTTATGAACTCAACTATTAAAGTATATAATAATGAATACTTTTATAACATATTATATTGTTAGAATATTAACTACTTCTTTTTTGTTAAGAAAATTTATGAAAATATAAAAAAAAATGTTCTGAAAGAAAATTCATTAAAAAAAACTTATTCTTTATTACAAATAGAAAAAAATATTTATTCTTTATATAAGAATAGAAAAAAAAATAACGATAATATACTTTTCAAAGTATTGCAAACATTACACCTAGAGAAATGATTTATTTGAACCAAATAAAATATATTTGATTTAAATAAACGTATATATTTGTCTCAGAGTCTACTAACTTATTTATATTTGGCGTAAATAAAAATTTTATTTGTCAGAAATAAATTTTTCTTTGGCTAAAATAAATTTTTTATTTTAATGAAATAAAATATATTTGCAATAAATAAATGAGTTAGTAGGCTCGGAGAAAAATATACCATTTCTCTGAGTATAATTTTTTTTATATTTCTTTTTTTTTTTTTGAAAAAAATGAAATCTTTCAGAGGGTGATTTGCAAGGACTATTACTTTATACTTAAGGGCTTGGCAAGTTTTCGCCATCAAGATTAGTGTTTAATGTAATTTTAATTTGATCATAAGCACTTTATAATCTTCTATGTATATTATATATATAAACTATAAGTAAACTGTTAACAAAATATAATCCTTTGTAAAATAGTCCCAAATGCAACATAAATATTTTTTTTCTTTTAACTAATTAATATAAATAAGGAAAATAATCCAATATTAATTAAAACTTTTCTTTATTTAATTAATTATAAAAAATAGACTTATTGTAACAAAAAAAAATATTTATAAAAAAATTAATAATAACAAAAATAATAATATTAAAACAATAAAATAAGTTTTTTATTATTTTAACGTTTTTTTTATTATTAATTATTTAACGTTTTAATAAATATTTTAATTATTTTTTAATATCTTAATAAAGCATGTTTGGCAATTGTTTTGTTTCAGAATACGAAAAGAACAGCGAGATTAAAGAGCAGAAGAATTTATTTATTCAATTTGTCACGAGGGTGAGATTCAGAATGCTGTGAATGGAAAAAAGAAGAATTTAGGGGACGACAGGTAGGTGGAAGTTTCATCCTGATCTCCCTTCAATCAAATCATAATGTTTATTTCGAAATAGGAAATAAAGTATATTTTGTTATTACTTTCGAAAAAAAAAAATAAATTAATGAAAAATATGTAATAAATTTTGTAAAACAAAAATAGATAATCAAATTATATACTTTTGTGTTAATGTCTCAAAATGAAAATTGTTTAAAAAAAAAAAATAAAAGAATTCTTTTTATATTGAACGACGTGAAACATAAGCGAGATGCCTGATTTAATTCCATGAATTGCCCATTTCCCGAAAATCCCATTCTAAAAGTTTTGAGGGAAAGAGAGAGAGAGAGAAGGTTGGGACATTTAAAGAAATCTCTCACATCTCTATTTATTACCGATTGTTGAAAGGCATTGGCTGATAAGAAAAAAAACGCTGTGTCGAGCTCTATCGACTTTTAAGAAAGCCGAGTACGAAGTCATAAAAGAAGACGCAAAAAGAAAGCGTATAAAAAACCAAGAATGAAAAGAAATGCGAGTTCTAAAAAAATATATATCATGTTTCATTTAATTCTTTATTACCACTTAAAAAGATAAACATTTTTTTTTTCTACTCTATCACTATTAAAAAGAGATTTTATTGCATAAATAAAATTTTTATAATTGAAACACAAGAAATTGTTCGAGTATTTTTATAATTTTTTTTCTATTTTATAATAAACTAGCAAAATTAAACGCGCGCAATCGCGCCAAATTGAGTATTTAATTGTTTGTTATAAAGAAATTAAAGATTAATATTATCAATAATAATTTAATTTATTAGAATATTATTACATATTAAATAATAATAATGAAAATTATGTGTTTACAGGCCTCGGATTATACGACTTTTTACGACTTTTTTCAAAAATACGACTTTTATCCACTTATTTTAATAAAATGCGACATTTTTTTTTACATTTGAAAAAAAATGTAAATAAAATACATTTTTTTTTTAGTATAAAATGTAGATCTTCTTCCGATCTTCTTCAATTCAATTATTTAACAAATTTTGAACTAAAATGATTCTTCACTAAATTAATTATTTTTAATAATTTTAATGAAATACATCACAAATTCAATTATATGAAAATTATTTTTGAATTAAAATTTTTATGAAATTTAACAATGGTTTATAATTTAAAAAAAAATATATCACAATAAAATTGAATTATTTTTTAAAAATTTCAATTCAAAATAAACTAAAATTCAATTATTACCCGAAATTTTAATTCAAAATTAATTAAAAAACCAATAATTATCAAAAATTTTCAAATTAAAATTTAATTATTTACCAAGTTTTCAATTTAAAATGAAATAAAATTCAATTATTTTCTAAAATTTCTATTCAAAATTAATTATCCAAATTTTCAATTCAAAATGAACTGAAATTCAATTATTTTATTAAATTTAAAATCAAATAAAATTTAATTATTCTCAAAAATTTGAATTCAAAATTAATTGAATTTTCAATAATTTGAATTTGAAAGCATCTAAAATTTAATTATTTCTAAAATTTCCCATCGAAAATTTTTTTTTTTGAAATTTAATAATTTCAATTATAACTCTAAGGAAATTCAATTATTTTTAACTATTTTAATAATATTCTTTGAAAATTCAACTATCTGCAAGCATTTTTTAATTAAAAATGATTTTCAAATTATTGTATTTTGTCCGCATTTTCTAATAAATTTTTAGTGAAATCATCTAAAAATTTAATTAAAAATCACTTAAAGTTTCAATTAATTTCAAAAATCTCAATTTTAAATCTTTGAAAATTCAATTAAATTTAAAAAATGTTTTCTAAAAATTGTTTGATAAATTATTTTTAGTTCTGTGTAAAATTTAATAATTGTTTAAAAATTAACAATATCTGTTGAAATTTAATTATTTCTAAAAATTTCAACTTTAATCCTTCGAAAAGGATTATTATTAAAAAAAAAAATTTTCTATTTAAAATTTTGTAAAATATTTTTGTTAAAATAAAAAACAAATCCACTTTTTTGTTGGAATATATATCGACTAAAACGACTTTTTGTGTCTTTAAGTTGATTCGAGGCCTGTGTTTTTATAATTAATATTTAATATGTATTCGTTGGCCCCTGGTACCTTAAAAATTAATTTTTAAAAATAAATTTTTTGGCAAAAATGAGAAAAAGAATTGTCAAAATTTGACACGTCATAAGATTACTATTCAAAAAAACACGTGAAATCAGAAAAGACCAACTTCAAGTTAGGACAGAAGGACAGACCAAGCATTTTATTATTATATAATAATAATTTTTAACTAAATAAAAAGAAATAAAATTCTTTTTTTTTATCAAGACCAATAAATAAATAAAATAATAAAATTTATTGAAATAGAAAATTTGAGTCTAGAGGGGAGAAAAATAACTTTTATATATATATATATAACGTTGGAAAAATCTTACAAACAAGCGTAAAAACCCTAAAAATACGTTTTCTTCGTGGCAAAAGATTTGCTAGAATGTTGGTAAAACGGGATTCTTGAGATTATCACGTGTGGCGTGAAACCAGTTTAAATCCGTGCGTGGGTGGTGAAAAAGGAAATAAGTTGAAGACCACACAAGAGAGAAAGAGAGAGAAAAAAGAGGATATGTGAAAAATTTCAGACAGAAGGTTCGTTGGGTCCCATTCGAAAAGTAATTCGCTATAAAACTTACTCAAGAAATTGTAAAGAAATAGAAAAAAAAAGTCAAATGGAAAACTATTTTCAAACCCAAAAAAAAAGAAAAAGAAACTCTTCTACTTCGAGAAAAAGAAAAATTTTACTTGAATTTCTATTTATAACCTCCCTATTTTTTTTTTTAAAGAAAAAAAATTAAAAATTACTGGAATATTGAAATAATAAATTTTTTTTTTCGATAAAATTCAAAATTATTATTTATAATTATAATTAATTTCGAATTCAATTAGCAAATTCAAATATTTTTAAAAGTAATTTTCAAATTAAATAATTAAAAATGATGTTGGAAAATATTTGAAAACTAAAATTTTGTAAAAAAATTAATAACATTCAAATAAATTTTGTTTGTCAATATAAAACATTTTTTAATTGAATAGAAATAAAAAAATATTTTTCTATCTATTGTTGATATTATACCATTAGTGAAAAATTAAATGGAGCAAAATTCTCGCATATTATCCTTCAAGGATAATATTTCCATTTAAAGATGGAAAAAGGAAATTCTATTTGCCGATAAAAGGAATAGGGTATAAAAATAATTTTATCATTTTATCAGGGGAGTAATTTCACAACAGTCGGTAACTGAACTTTTGTTGTTACATAGAGGGGTTGATTTTCAGTCGGTATTACAGGAGGGATGAATTTGCCGATAATGTAGAATTTTTCAATATGAGGGAAAAATTTTCTATAAATTCACAAAGGCATTACCGACACAGGATGAAAGGAATATTAGAATTTGCCGACTCATAAAGCACACGGGGGGTACAAAAAGAAATCAATAAAGTAACATATCACCAAGAAGAAAGGAAAGGCCTATCCTTTTGTATATATTTAACAATAAAAAAATGTTTAGTATTTACAGTAGAAAAAAATTATTTAAATTATTATTATTATCATTATTATTATATTGATTATTATTTAAATGCCTTTTTATTTAAATAAATTTTATTTGATCTAAAAAATTGTCATTTGAATCAAATATTATTTATAATAATATTATTTATTATATATAAATATTAAATATTATTTTTTAATAAAATTTATTTAAATTAGTATTCGGTAATTGATACATAATTCAAGAATTATTTATTTAAATAAATATTTTAAAAAAATTAATTATTTATTAGCCAATAATTTATGACAAATAATCAAATTTAATTTTGAATAATAATAAAATTTATTAAGGCAAATAATTATTTATTTGATAGCAATAAATATTTAGTTGAACATAGTGAATAATTTTTTTTTAAGTGTGAAATTAAAAACAAATAACTATAAATGAACGATAAATTTTGTCCAAAATATCCATCAACATTTAAACTAAAAAAATAGAATTTAAATACACATAATATAGTATTTTATCTTTAATTATATATATGACTTTGTATTTTTTCTACTATACAATTTATAATTTTATAAAAGCAATTATAGGAGAAAGAAAAGGAAAAGAGAGAGAGAAAATTATGAAAGTTATACAAATGAAGCTCGTGTAAAAAGGATTTATGAATATTTAAATATTTTTCTCAAGCTAACAAAGCTTGAAGGATTGAAAGCTTTTTGCAAATTAAAAAATTATTCTCCTTGAGTTCACAAAGTAATGGATGTAACTATTTGAATAAATAGAAAAAAAAAATCTGACAGCATACCATTGATACGTGACTTGGTAGTTTAAAATAGTCGAGAATATGTAAGTATGAATCTCAGAGCACGTAGAAGAAATTCTTTTCTGAATTACGAAAAAGAAATTACAAGGGTGAGTTGAAGAATCTTGGTAAAAGTGTAATATATATCCTATATATACTAAAGTTACAAAACAAAACACTTGAAAAGTGAATGATTGCAGGAAAAAATATTTTTAAAAAAAGCACAAAATATCTAAAAAACATTTTCAATTTTTCCCATATAATTTAAAAAAAATATATATATATATATAAATAAATATTCATATGAAAACACAAATATTTAATGGAAAAAAATATTTAATTAATAAATTTATGTAAAATTTAATCATTATTTTTATATGATAATTTTTAGAAGATTGGAATTTTTTCGAAAAATAAATTCAATATACTGTAGAAAATAAAGTTAAATTTTAAGGTACTTAATTTTAATATATCAAACTTAGTACCATTTAAATTTAATCTGTATAATATCGAATTCCAATATATTGCAAATAAATTTAATCAATTTAATTCAAATTAAATACTTTAAATAATAGATTAAAAAACAAAATATTCGAAATTTTCATCGAATATTTTAAAAATGCAAATACTAAGTCTTTAATAATGAAATAGTTTAAATTTCAAAATGCTATGAAATAAAAATTGCCTTTTAAAATATTAATATAAAATTAAATTTAAAAAATGAGCAATTTTTTTTAAATTAGAAAAATATTTCTCTATTTTAATAAGAATGGATGATTTACGCACTGTTAAAAAGTTTATGCACTCAAGAGTATATCATAAGAAGATTTAAGGTATTAAACTTATTACGAACCTGTAACGACTTTGAAGTAGAACTCGTGCTTGGAAGTTCCTAAAAACAAAAATAAGAAACATATTACTTGATAGTTCAAAAAGAATAATATTACAATATCTGCCTTTTTTTTTTGTTGCAATTTTTTATTTAACACAGCTTTAATAAAATTAAAAATATGATTCAAATAATGAAATATTTTTTTAAAAATAAATTTAATAAAATTTCAACATTGTGGAAAATTGGATAATTTTAATTAATTTAAATAAACAGCTTTATTATAATATAAAAGCAAAATGTATCTCAAAATGAAAATAAAATCAATGACAATATTGAAAAATAAATTCAATCAGATTAACTTTTACATATATTTTAGATTATTAAAACGAAAGCTATTATAAAATATTAAATTATTAGTTCATTGAAACGTGAATATATATCACAAAATAATAAACAGAAAATCAAATAAATATAAAAGATATATATATATATATATATATATATATATATATATATATATATACAATTGTATAAATAGACAAACAAAATGACAATAATAAATATGCAAACAATAATACACAAAATGTATACATAACAGTGCAATTAATGTTAATATTATATTTATATGTTTAATAATAATTATTGAGAATCAATGAAAAACAGAGAAACGATAAAGTTAATTATGATATATATTCTATAAAGAGTCGTTCATTAGAGGTACTTTGAACCTTTTTATTTTGCATATATATCTGTCAATAACGAGAAAAACACATAGCTATATTTATAGTGCATAAATATTCAAAGGAGACGATCATATGTCATTTTACAGATAAGCACTAGAAAAACGAGTTGACTTTATCGCTAATAGTAATTGAGTGATTCGATAAATTTTAGGCAAGGGGAAAAAAAGGACGACGACCACGGTCGATAGGGCCCTCGTAAATTTACGAAAACGGGAGAATTCATGACATTTGGCGTGTCCTTTTTGGGGAGGTGGGGGGGGGGGGTTGTGTATGACACGCGACAGAGAAAAGAGATATTGTACCACATATATAAGATGAAATGAAATATTTGAATCCAAGTGAGAGTAAGCGAGACAGAGGTTATATATACATTTTGACACATTATATATATATACATATATACAGAGAGAGAGAGAGACAAAATCGCGTCACACAAAATAATTATCGAGCAAACATAATCACTTTATCTCCTAATAATTGGCACAAATTCAATAATCAGTTGTCCTGACAACGATATTAAATGAATAAATAATTGGTGTAAACAAATACGAATATTCAATTGTCATATAGAGAATGTCAAACAAACGCACGTTCGATCCGTGTTATACTCACCAAAAAAAAAAATGTTTCAATTCTTTATTTTGATTAAAATACTTTTATTTATTTAATTCACGTCATATTGTCAAAATACACATTTACACTTATTGTTATACACTATTGTTTTGTAGAAAACTTGATGTAAAAAGGTATAAAAACACAATTGTTAGAAAACTGACAAGAAAATTGCCATTGCTTTGCCGAGTACATTGGCGGCCATGACACTTGAAAGCGCGCACAGCACCATCGTGTGACGTTTGATGCAACTAACATGCGCGCTTAAATTCAACTGTTTTACCGCGAATTAAATAATTATTATTTTTTTATTAAATAATTAATTTTGTTTACTATTGTGAGAATTTTAATTAATTTTAATTAAATAATATTTAAATTTGTTGTTTATTTATTAAGATATATATGAAATAATTTATTTTTCAATAAGAGTTGACGACAGTCGATAAGGAAAATTTCTTTATAGTTACAAATTCAAATATGAATTTTCTAAAAAGCAATTAAAATGTAAATAAGCATTCTTTTTCTCTGCGTTTTCTTTTTTTTTTATAGAACATTGCTAATTGGCAAGTTGCATGATACGTGTGAAAAACAACATACATTAAAATTTAAATTAAATATGTATTTCTTGCAACAACAATAAACTGTATTGCAGAAATATTTTTAATATTCTCCGTGGATATTGAATTTTTAAGTAGATTTGTATTTTATACGAGAATTTATTTCAAATGAAATTCTTTCTTTCTATTTGAATAATTAAATAAAATTTTTCAATTTTCTTTTGATTTTTTATTTCTTTCTCTTAAACGAAATTTTTAAAATATTATATCTTTTTAAATGAATAAAAAATAAATCAATTAAAGTGAATTTTTTTTTTAAGTATATAAATAATTTAATAAAATTAATTATTAATATTTATTAATTGTTAATAGAAAATGTATAAAATTATTAACTATTAATGATCAAGAGATGTTACTGGATTTTTTTTTTATTACTATCATTAAAATTTAAAATTCTTTATACGTTTTTAATTATTAAATATAATTTAATTTATAAAAATTTCTTTGTTAATTGAATAATTAATAAATAATGAGTAAAAAAATATTAAAAATAATAAAAATAATGAAAATAGTAAAAATAATGAAAATAATAAATATAAAATAAATATAAATTATAAAAATATAAAATATATAATAAAAAAAAAGTGTAATAAAATATTCAATTGAACGGTGTCAAAATGAACTGTATTTAATTATTAAACATCCCTTAGCAAATTTCACGATGATAAATAAAGCGGAACGTTTAATTACTTCAGAATTAATAATAAATCAACTAAACTATATGTATATAGTAATATGTATATCAGAAGTGTAATATTTTCAGAAAACTTTGGAAACTTGAGCTTTACATTGAATTATACATGTTCGTATGAGTTTCTTCAAGCATATAATATAATATATATATATATATATAATACAAGGATGTAGAATTATCTACGCATGACTTTGTCTCAAAATGTTTCGTTTAATTTTCACTGTCTTCGAATAATATACATTGAAAAAAAAAATTTATTTAATTCAAGCAATCGACTATAATTATCAAACTAAATATTTTACTTGTACCAATAAATTTTTATTTTAAATCAACTATTTATATTTAATAATAATAAATATATTGCAAATAAATATTTATGTTTAATACGAATAAATATTACAAATAAATATTTATAATTAATACGATTAAATATTACAAATAAATATTTACAATTAATACGATTAAATATTACAAATAAATATTGCAAATAAATATTGAAAATAAATATTTATAATAAATAATATTAAATATTATAAATAAATATTTGTAATAAACACAATTAAATATTTGCATATAAATATTTGTAAATAAATATTTATAATTAATACGAATAAATATTTAATTGATTAATGGAAAATATAATAATTGAGAGAAAAAAAAGGAAATTATTGATGCAAAATATATATATATATATATAAATGTTTGAGATGTAGATGTTAGAAAAGTTACACGTCCACTATAGTGACACGTGTCAAGTTTCTTGCATGCAATAAATTGCTACGACGATGGAGCACCCAACTTTTCTGCATTTCTCCTCCTTTTAACTCAACCCCCATTTATATGAAATCACTACATATATATAAGAGTTGAGCTATTTCCATTTGATATATATATATATATATAATACTTAATATATTCGTGTAAAATTTTTTGATTCATCTTAATCAAAATGTTCGTTGATTTCACTTCAATTACAGTCATGCAATCCAATTATAATATACGTTTGTTCAACACACATTATTTCATATGTATATTATTTATATATTACCCCTTTTTAATTTCCTTTGTAAGTATTTTTTGCAATTATCGTTTCTAACATTGCAATCATTCATTTTGAATGAAAATTTATTTAATTTTATAATAAAAAATGATGAATGAATTAAAAATTAAATTTTTTTCTTTACACTGCAAAAAGAAGGTACTAAAATAGTACCGATTTTAGGTATATCAAAATAGAATCAAATAACAATTTAGTACCTAAAGTCGGTATTAAATTAATATACCTTTTGTTTTACAGTGTTTTTAGTTTATTAGACAGTTTATTATTAAATTTTGTTTGTTCATTAATATTTTATTACATTTTGTGTATATATATAATAAAAAATTTATAATTAAAAAAATATTAAAATTTTACTATATAAATATCTATTTTTATAATTTTTAAAAATTATAAATTTTAGTACTTATAATAATAATAATAATAATAATAATAATAATAATAATAATAATAATAATAATAATAATAATAATAATAATAATAATAATAATAATAATAATAATAATAATAATAATAATAATAATAATAATAATAATAATAATAATAATAATAATAATAATAATAATAATAATAATAATAATAAATATTTTGATTTATTTTTTTGAACACAAAAAAAATATTTGGTAGAATGAATCAAATATTTGGTTTAGTAAAATACTTGTCTTTTTTTTAGACATTTTTTTCATTATTAGTTTCTTATTTTTCCATTTTTTAAATATTTTTTTTTCACCTTTTTTAAATGTGCGTTTTATCAAATATTTCTCGCATTTCGTTTAGTTCTCTTTGATCATTTTATTATTTGCATTCGGCTCATTTTAATATTTTCATTTGGCTTATTTTTTATATGCGTTTTATCGTATTTTTTATTCGCACAGTATATATAGTAAATCAAAAGGTAGAAAAAAAATTTTTTTTTCCACTTTTGCATAAACGGGGGAATTATATTCTTGCATGTATATAAAATGCTTTCACAGTATTATATATTAATATTCAGTTTCTTTAAAAATGAATTTTTTTCAATTTTTAGCTGTCAAATATATATATATGTATATATATATTTTTTTGTATTTAGTTTATTTGAAAATTAATTTTTTAATTTCAAAATCTGAGATATTTTTTGTTACATAATTTTTGAATTTTATTAAAATAATAATAATTTTTAATAATTAATTATATAATAATTAACAATTGTGTTTTTCTGAAAATATATATGTATATTTTTAAGAGGGGAATTATTTTTCTCTCGCGCATGTTTGTTATATGTTTGAGATAAAATTTCTTGTTCCACAATGTAAATAGCAAAAAGTTTGAGGCCAATTCGTACATGTCAGTTTTCA